ATCCCCTCATCCAGATCATCAATAAAGATATTAAACAAGACCGGCCCCAGTACTGAGCCCTGGGGAACACCGCTCGTGACCGGCCGCCAACTGGATTGAACTCCATTCACCACAACTCTCTGGGCCCGGCCGTCCAGCCAGTTTTTGACCCAGCGCAGAGTACACCTGTCTAAGCCGTGAGCCGCCAGCTTCTCTAGGAGAATGCTGTGGGAGACAGTGTCAAAGGCCTTGCTGAAGTCCAGGTAGACCACATCCACAGCCTTTCCCTCATCCACTAGGCGGGTCACCTGGTCATAGAAGGAGATCAGGTTGGTCAGGCAGGACCTGCCTCTCATGAATCCGTGCTGGCTGGGCCTGATCCCCTGGTTGTCCCGCTCATGCCTTGTGAGCGCCCTCAAGATGAACCGCTCCATAATCTTCCCCGGCACCGAGGTCAGGCTGACAGGCCTGTAGTTCCCCAGATCCTCCTTCTGGCCCTTCTTGTAGATGGGCATCACATTGGCAAGCCTCCAGTCATCCAGGACCTCCCCCATTAACCAGGACTGCTGATAAATGATGGAGAGCGGCTCGGCGAGCTCCTCTGCCAGCTCCCTCAGCACTCTCGGGTGGATCCCATCTGGCCCCATAGACTTGTGAGCAGTCTCACAAGATGCAGATGGATGCAGAAAGGCAGGTGGGGAAGTGCAAGAGGACAGTGGGAAAAGTTGGCATGTTGCTATGACATTATTGTAATGCTACAAAAAAATAAATCTGTGTTTTCAAGCTTCTGAATTAAGCAAATAGTTAATCTTCTCTGGATGGGATAATCAGTTTTCAAAGACTCACTGCGGATGGAGCTACTGTATTCATATACACAGAAAACATCTAAAAAATTCAATGAAGTTATATCAGCTTAAAAAAACCTGCAGACTTACATTTCGGTGTAATTTTATTTGCTTTCCAGGCTTAGTTCTGAGTCTCTTACTGCACTTGAGATACCCAATGATATGCTTCAGATCATCCAGGATCTTATTTTGGACCTTCGTGTACGTTGCATTATGGTGACCTTACAACACACAGCTGAAGGTAATAAAAGGCTGCAGGTCTCTGCTTACTATCATATTTTTTTTGCCTCTGATTAGGGCAAACCATGTTCTGGAAGATAACCATGTTTGTTACAGATATTGTAGTGGCAGTGGACTCCTGAGTTCTGTAATATCTCACAAGAGTTACTGAAGTATTGCACTTTTCTGACAGAAATGTTTGTTATGAGTCTTTTCTTCCCTTATTCTAATGAATACAGTAGTTTAGATCTGTTTCCTTTGGGTTGAGACAGTTTTACAATGCAAGTGATTTATCTCATGATGCAGCTTTTACGTATTGGAAATACCATTTATTTTCTTTTTTGAGTTCTTCTATGAAGTGAAGAATTAAATAAGCAATGCCCCAACCCCAAGTAAAAAAAAAAATCCACAGCCCTTTATGAAGTATTTTAGCTGTGTGTTTTCCAAGGCCTTTTACTAATACTATAATCCCCAGACTTCCTACTGTGTACACAGCTTTTGCCATAAATGTCTGGATTGTCAAGGCCAGTAAGACGTTCTCTAAATGTAATGTGACTCTGCGTGCATCAGAGGCCATTCATCTTACCATCTTGTATTCAACTCTGAAACTTGAATGTGAATGAAGTAAATCTTCCAGAAATAAAGTCTCTCTCAAAATCTCAGGGCAGATTGATCTACTAATTCACTTAGCAGGGTTTTTTCAAAAAGACGAGTTACCCTCAATGTTAAAAAGATTAGGACTTTTTTAATCTTTACCATATGATTTATCATTATTTTGTAGGCTGACATGAAGCTAAGTGTTTTACCCAAGCCTTAAGCACAGGTGGCTATAGTAAGCAAATTTTTAAACTTTTGGTGACAACAAATCATAAAGCCTCTATGGTTTATTTGATACAATGTTGATATGAATTATATTCTTGGCTCTTAATTCTTTTATTAATGTTAACACTGAAATGGGATTTGTATTTCTGCATTAATACCAAGCTAGTTGGCCATACAAGTACATAAGTTGTCTTGTCTCTTTAAAACTACTTGAGGAAAGTATTACCGCTATTTCAGATTTCACTTAAAGTATGAGGAAGTCTCTTTTGCTTTTCTTCACTTAGCACAATTGAGATCAATTTTTTTTTTTTTTAAATGGCAGGTGAAAAAGATGTTTTAATCGTGACATGAGGATGTCCTGTTGGACTGACTGCCCTCTGTCTAGGAATTGTGAATGATTCCTTAGATTTCCTGACTGTTTCAAAGGAAGGAAGTATCTAGCTCCGAACTGTTCTGCTGACAATCCTTAGCTTCTCAAATTTCTGTGAGCTATCCAAAGCAGTCCAGAGAGCTCTGAAACGTGATTAATGATGAAGCTCTCGGCCAAAGCGTCTGCTGTCTTACTAGTTTTGCCTACTTGTTGCACCATAACAATAGCCCAGTTCTTTGTTCAGATCCAGAGTTTCTGCTTCTTACGTCCTGATTGCTGGCCACGTATGTTCTGTGGAGGAAAAACTCTTGTGGTAGTCCATACCCTAGATTTTTATAAAAGCAGATTTACCAGTCTGTGTGTGAATGATTCTCTATTTGGTCTGAACATCTTTATTCATACTTTTCTTTCTTGAATCAAAAGAGATCAGATCCCTTAGGATGCCGGTATGTTACGTTGGCTGGATAATGTATCTGTCTTTCATCTAGCCAATAACAGCAGCCTTCCTCAACGGCTACTTCCATCCCCTAACAGTGAAGCAGTTCTGTGTATTGGCTGTAGCATCAAACAGGAGAAGAGAAAAGATGCCTGCCTGTATGATGACTCTCATTCCATATTGTTGCACTGCATGCCTTATCTATGGGACCCTTTTTTTTTGTTGTTCTTGACCAGCTAAAGCAAAATTACATATGTTGAATGTGTTTAGATAGTTTTTTACTAGACAGGACCAGGTTAATTGGGCCCTTGGAGAAACTGTTATTTTTAGAGAACCAATGAAAGAAGAGGTAATGGATAGTCTCATTCATACCTGAGGTATGAATGAGATCTATGTAAATAGATCTCAGATGTAGTTATATCTGTAATATGTAAGTCAAAAAGGCTTCTTCTGGACTTGAATCTCACCTCCATAATCTTTCTGAAATACGAGCTGCATAGACTGCTGATATAAAGTTCAGTCTCATCTCTTGCCGCATGTTATAAGTTGGTAAAGGCATTCAGATCAGTTAAAATTTTTAATAGAACACTCTACCATTAGCTATTTAAATAGGATAAATATGCCCACACACAGGGTTTTCTTGTTGTCGTATGATAAACACCATATACTCATGCTGGCCCTGAGAAGCAGTTTGTGTTCTTTCCCTCTCATATGTGATCACTGGTCATAAAGGTCATGAAAGCCAAATTATGTGAATGCCAGACTAGACAGGGGTTTTACATGAATGTATTTGACTGGAATTTGGTGAGCGGTGAAATATGAGAAAGAAATTTGTTTCTTTTGTATTTTTATTAGCTCATAACAGAATGCAAAAGTGAGCAGCCACAGAAACGTAGAAGCTGACCAGCGCAATCTAAAGCCTCGCAAGAATATTGGTTAAGAGGTTTACTAAATAGGGAAATTAATGCAGTAATTATTCTGCACAATTCCTTAACACTTTTTATCCTCACTAAGCCTATACTTCTATGAGATGTAGGATTGCAGGGTATGAGACCAAAACCAAGCTTCTTAATTTAGCTAATTAAAGCACCAAGATAGTGAAGATACCTTTCAGCATACACTAGTTATCCTCTTTTCTTGGTTTTCGGGGAGAGATGGTAATTCACCAAAATTTTTTCTCATTTTAAAGGGAGTTTCATGATGTACAGACAGTTCTGATGAGCAATTTGTGTGTGAAAAACTGTACGTCAACCCCCCCCAAAACTTCATGCAGTTCATCTTTGTTCTGTTTACAAGTTGATTAAGCCCCCAAAAAAGCAATGATGCAGAATGCATGTGTCCATAGAGGAATTTTGTCTGCCATGCATGAGCTTTGGATTCACATCCTGACTTAGCTCCTGTTAGCTTCAGTAAGCCTATAGAAGTTGGCACCTTCTGGGTAGCGGAAAAGAGTGCTTTTTGCATATGCCTTCATGTATTTTTGAAGGAAGTCTAGCACCATGGATCCTTGACCCTGAGTGGGGACTCTGAGCCTCTTTTATAGTTATTAAATATGAATTATATGCTGTCCTTTCTGTCTTTGCTAAAATGCTAGGCAGTTGTTCTTTCAGTTTTAATTAAGAGCTGGAGTATAATAGACTAGAGACTTGGGTTCTTAAATGCAGTATTTTATGTTGTGATTAAAAATTTACAAAATAAAAACAAAGCCAAAGCCTTCACAATATGCCTTTAATTTTAAGCTTTCCAGTAAAAGATGTGCTTCATGCAAGCCTTGCCGTGTATCATAGATATGCTTCTCTATGTGGTGTCACCAGCATACCATGTATGAGTTCCATTCTTAGTCATTTGAGAATGCTGAAAGCTTTGAAGCTTTTAGTGCTATTTGCTTGTATGCCTAGTCATTGCAGTCCCAATGTCTGTGGTTTATCTTTTCAAGTTCAAGGAGTTTTTAATAATGAAAATGACTACCTTCTCCCTCTCCCCCCCCCCCCCCCCCACCTCTTCCTCTCCTTACACGCAGCTGCCGCTATATTCTTGCCTTTG